ATATGGGAGTGTTAGGGGTGTACTCGGCACTGAAACTAGGGGTTACAATGGCATCATGGGATCTGCAGCAAGTTTTAAATTCAATCAGGTTTTCAGTGCCAATGGATTTCTACCGGCGTCATCATCCCCTAAGATTGAAGAGTTGAAGCAGGAAGTGGAGAGTCTAAGTTTGAAAGAAAGCAATGCTGAAGCTTCTAGTTAACAGACTACAAGGGTAACGCAGCCTAAATACCTATAGGTAAATTCTTGCTGACTGCTCCTTACAATGCAATGAAGGTTGGTCTATTCTTTGATGGATGGTGGAAGAGCTAGTCACTCTTCTTCTGGTCTGTATAAAATTTGCTAAGGTACCTCTTTCTGTGCTATAAATATGTGGTAAATTAGTTATAGCTTTCTGTCATGTCTAGTTCTGGAGTTTTATCAGCAGAGGATCCGGGCTCCTGTAAAATAATGGCATTGAAAATCTTCCCCCCCCCCCCCGTTTTTCTTGTCTATAAATAGGTGCTATCTATGTCTGTCTGCAGAATTGAACCACCCATTTCACTGTTGCACACTCCATACCATTGCGTCTTTGGATCTTTTGCCCCTTCCCGGTTGAAATGCTGCGAGTCCTTTACTGGTTTTAGAAATATTATCTGTAGCATAGACACACCCTGTGCAGGGACGTTATTTGTATAAATTCATGTACTATGACTCGATCGTCCTTCAGACTTTCGTTTTGCGTTTACATGTCGGGTGGAATGGTCCACCAACTAAACCTAATCTTACAATTAAATACATTTTCCAAAGTGGTTGTTTCTGAAATTAAGTGAACCCAAGCTTTTGTCAAATTCACGGGGAGCCGCCCTCGTAATTTGTGGCCACACTGTTGCTTATTCATTCGTTGGTAGCTTTATCCATGCATAATCTAGTGGATTGAAACATCTGGTGTGCTAACATGTGAAATACCTTGTCATAAATAAAATTAAAAAGAAAATCCACTAGAAAGTTATTTCAATGGCTTGAAAGTGATTTACGTGCATATCAAATCGATAGTACGCGGGCCATGACGCGGCATCAAATAACAGTCCAAAATGATATTAGTTTAATTTTACACAAGTAGCGGTCTCTCATAAACCCTTGCCGTTGCTCTCACGACTGCTACCAGCACGGCACCGTCTTCCTTTTCATCTCGACATAATCATAGAGAAAAAAAGGTGGCCTTGACAGGATTTGCTAGTGGAGAGCAGCATCTCTCTCAAACCCTGTTGGCTGCCTCTCACCACCGCTATCGTCTCGGCACCATCTTCCTTCCTCATCTACGGTAGTACCCTCACCAGCATTTAATGAAGATCGCATTGGGGAGTTCCTTGGAGAGCTTTCATCTCTCTTCTCTGATCCTAAAACCCTACCTTGAATTATCATGTCCGCTTTTTATCTCTAGCGTCATCAACACCATAAAATAGTAAATTGCTCTTGGTCACCACCGTTTCCATCTATTGCAGAGAATCGGAGTGGCTCTGATTTCCTTTTCGCCCTTGGTAACCATCCAACAAAATCAAAGGTGCATATCGATTTTGGGAAGTGAAATCTCCCTTCTCCAAATCAAAAATAGCAAGGGTCAGGTTGCTTCTCTATGGTAAAAAATTGATAATTCAAATTTAAAAGAGTTAGCCTGTTTACGCTCAAAAATAAAAGGACTGTCCTTTTAAACACTTTTATTATTTTTTATATTTCAATTTTAAAAGAGTAAAAGACTAAGTATCTAATCAAAAGAAAACTCTACACTTCTTCTTTCCTTCCTCATTTATTCCTCAAGATTTAATTGATGATGTTAGCCTAGTTTAATTTATGTTGTTAATTTTGATGTTATTGTGTGATATTAAATTTAGATGCTTAAGTTTTACATATTTATTGTGATGTGGATTGACTTCAAATTTATTTTCCTAAACTTAATATTAGTGTAATATTTTTTTAGAATTATAAATATGTATTTTTAAATTGAAAAGGAAAAAAAAAGGTTGAGGCTTGCAGGGTCGGCCCTTCAGCCATGAGGGTCGAGCCTTACAAAATAAAGCCTTGAGGTATAATTAGAATTACCAAAACTAGCTTGTTTAGGCCTAACCTTAAGGTTAGCTTTAATTAACAGTTCTAGTTATAGGCTAGTGAGTGATGAAGGGTTTCTTTCTGCTTCAATTGATTTCAGTTTAGTTTCTTTGGTCATGGTTCTATTATGGATTTGGCTTGTCTTTCTGGCCATGCATCAACGGAGGAGAGCTTTTGTAATTGAGTCGTGGGATTTATCCAAATCTCACCCAAATTTTGTTTCAAAACCGTTACATGAAGGTAATTGATTCAAGGAAGTTACACACTCCAAAGCTTCAGTATTTACTTCGCCACCACTGGAATTCTGGAAATTATAGGGCACAGTGTCGTTGGTCTAACAATTCCAACTGTGCTTCGTCTTATTTTTTCAGAAAGAGGAAGATTTGAGGTATGTTCTACTTAATGGTCCATGTTGCTTGACTTCAAGGTTTCACCCTTTATTTCCTTGGGAGCTTGATGTATCTCTATCAAAGATCTCTGTCTCTAATCTTCCAATATGGGTGCAAATTCATGATATTCCTACATAATATTATTCTTACGAGGTTGTTGTTTCAGTAGGCAAGAATTCAGGCTTTTTTTTACGATATGACCATTGTAGCAGACAATTGTCTAGTGATTTGAGGTTTCAGGTTCTTTTATCAGAATATAGTCCATTGTTCTCTCCAAGTAGAATTAAATTGCCTAATGGTGAATATAGGGACATCAAGATTTTTTTGGAATGAAGTTGTCGTATTTGTTATAGATGTCTTTGTACTGGACATGTTGCTCATGTTTGCTAAGGTTTACATTCTACACAGCACTATAAAGTTGGACCATCTTATCTTACCCCATAACTTCTTTCTCAAGATTTTCATGGATCTAAATGTTTAGCGGACATTGGACACAACTCTTTATATGGTTATTATTGCTTACAAGAGAAGATACATGGGGTGTTTTTGAAATATAATTCTTGTCAATTTCACAAGTCGGACCATAAATTTCAATTTATCATGGCTAGGCAAGTAGTGGACACCAAATGTGAAATTCAAGACATGGGCAATAATATCAAGAATCAAATGCCATCCACAAATCTTTCTTGCAAGAAGAGGAACCAACCACCTCCATGTGATATTATTTTCAGAAGAATCAAGTGGCCTAAGATATAGAGTCATGATTTTTCAATCAGCACAAGAAGCGGTCAAAATATGACGGCGGATGTTTGTAAGTCATCTAGGTCTCTTTATTTTCAAAGGTTGGTAAACTTGAATTGCAATTTCGTCACTCTAATCATTGTCAGAGTTAAGCATTTTTTGGAGGAGGCATTTGCCAATGATCATTCAGTTTTTAATTCTTGCGAAGCTTTAGCCAAAAAGCTTCACTATGTTACATGATATTGTATTGGGCCTTTAAGTTTTCTTGCAGCCACTTTAAAACTGTATCCATGGGCTCTTGAAGTTAGATTAGACTTCAAGTATTTGTGATTTTTTTTTTTTCTACATGCCTTTCACCTTGTTGTTTATGGCTATGGGTTTTATATTATGCTCCTCAGACTACCATTGCATTGTTAAGGGAAGAAGTGTTGTTTATTTGGTGGAAGATGTTGTTCCAAGCAACCTTGTGGTCCTTTGAGGATGCATTTCAATGTTGCTCATTTTTTAATACCTATGGAGGTATCAATGTCTTTGGTAACACATTTTCTCACTGTTGAGATCATAAGTAACTACAAAGAATCTTCATGAGGCGAGCTTTTTATGGGTTTATTGGCAACTCCTATAGGATAGTGTTTATTAAATCTTGATGTTTGTCTATATCCTAATCTTTATGTGTATAGATATCTTAGCTTTTTATGTATTGGTTGTTTTATCTTAATATAAGTTTATTCCAAAAAAAAAAAAATGTTACACGAGTAGACTTTGTTTATTATTATTATTGTTTATCATTGAATGCATCCCTTTTTTTTTGAGTAAATTATCCGGAGTTTGAAACCAAAGTTCTAACTAATCCAAACTGAATAGGATTAGAGTATTTTAAGACAGAAACCCCAAATGTTGCTACATTTTTCACTATTTAAAACTCGAGAGATTTGATGAAGAAATGGAAAAAATAGTCCAAATATTCAAAAGCTTTGTAATGTAACATCTTATTCGTTAACGAAATTCATGTGCATGGAATTTGCATTAAAAAAAAGTAAGAAACATTGATAAATCAGCACCATGAGTTTTTTAGGAAAAAATCACGACCGAGAGAGAGAGAGAGACCAATTAATTCGAGACTTGGAATTTTTTTGTTGATGGCATTGTCATTAAATCTCAAATAATATAAAAAGCAACATAAATAATTTATATTTAATTTTGAATTTTTCATTTGTCTTTGAATAAAAAATATTAAAATGAAATAATATCATAATTTATATATTTTAATAATTTAAAGGTAAAAGAGAAACGGGTTTATATTTGAAACAATAGTAAAAGATCGAAAGTGACGAGCTTATATTAAATTTTCAATTGATAAATGACAGAAGTAAAACATAAAGTAAATGACAGGAATGATAGAAATTTCGATAATGAAAACATGAAGAACAAGATAAGATTGAAGCTGATGATATTTCAAACAATTAAGATGTAAAGAAAAATTGAAATTATAAAGTATTTTTAAGAAAATATGGATTTAAATTTGACCAAATACTTTTATAAATTTAAATTCAAGCCTAAATACTTTTATGTATATAAATAAAGAATTTAGTTCAAATCTCACTTTATCCTGAAACACCTTCAAATATTTTTTTCTTTTTTTTTGTATAACTATGTGACAATCAATTTTAATATTTTCGGAGCAGATTCGAGGCAAATTGAGAGAGCTTCCCCCAGCCAACCAATCTACCGCAGGATGTCTTAGTGGATTTTTTTTAATGGACTGTTTTCTGGTTTTTTAGGCGGTGAGGCAAATCATCCGATTAACGGCCGAAAATAAAGGGGAAAAGGGGAAAAATATCAGTCACAAAATTATTCGTTGGCTTTCGCTGTATTGTGGGCTGGAAGACGAAAGTGGTGCCATAGCGATAGCGCGAGAATGATTCTGATTAGCCAAGCTCCTGGAGGAGCACTGTCTGCCAGATGTTCCCTTTCGTCTCCGGGGAAATTCGTCAATGCAAATCCATCACTCTTCGGCAACCGTAAACCCCAATTGCTCACCAGAAGAAGCCATATAAAGCCCTTGCAAATTACTCTCGCCAAGGCCGAGGGAAGCGTGGAGTCAGGTTCAGCTTCTAATTCGGCTCCCGCTAGCACCACCTCGTCTGCTCCTTCAGCCAATGACGAAATGGTTTTCGTGGGTGGAAAAGATGTTCCTTTGGAAGGTGTGATCCAGTTCGAGAAACCCAGTAATCCTGCTCGTTTTCAAAAATGGGGGTAATTCTAACTTCTTCAAGTTTAAGTATTTTATTTCTCGCATGGAGGGGAATGCTTTGCTAACATTCTATTCGAAATTTATTTGGTTATTGTTTTGCAGACGTGTGGCTCTTTTTGCTGGTGGAGATGTGATGGCCTTGATTTTGTTTGCGGCTATTGGAAGATTAAGTCATGGGTTATCAACTTTCGACGTTGAGACACTAAAAACTGCTGACCCTTTCATAGCCGGTTTGCTTGTTTATACTTTATAGTTTTTAAATTGACTAAACCGGCGATATTTTTATTTGCGTGTTTCTCATGAGGGAGGGATAGAATAAAAACATAGCCGATCGGAAAATTGAAAACCTGAATATATATTGATGCCATACAGGTTGGTTTTTGAGTGCTTACTTCCTCGGAGGTTACGGGGAGGATGGGCGTGGAATGAATGGTCTGTCAAAGGGTGTCATAGCTTCTGCCAAATCTTGGGCTCTTGGGATCCCTGTAAGTTGAATATGACAAGTTGCGGCTTTTGCAATTGCTTTAATGCACATAATTAGCTATGTCGCTTTAGCTTATGTTTTCTTTCGGATTTTGTCACTAAAAGAGTGCTGGCTTGAACTTTTAAGTAGTTTTAGCCCAAAATAATAACAACAACAACAACAAAAGAAAAGAAAAACTTCGAAGTTGTAAGTATAGGTTACAGCTTGAAGGCAAGGAAGTACTTCTATCCATAAGACATTGTCCGTATTGTTATGGTTTATTTCATCATAAATTCACATCAATCGTTGACTTAATAATCTGAATATTACTGCTTTCAACTCATATGATTCGACAAGAAAATTTGCCTGCAGTTCAAATAGTTGAGACGATGGGATTGCTCATCCACAAAGTGAAAACAAAATTATATTGTGATAAGAGTCCTTTCTTGTGTACCAACCATTGCTGTCCTTGAAATGATATAGTTTCTCACTATTGAGTATTTACCTTATTGGCAGATAGGAATTGTGATAAGGGCAGCAACGACAGGTCATTTTCCAAATTATGGTTTCATTTTAGTGAGTATGGGAAGCACTGCTGTTTTGCTAACCACGTTTAGAGCATTGTTATATGCTATTTTTCCGGCTAAAAATAGTAAGAGGAGAGATGATGTCTATCGCCATGGCAGCCCCTTTGAACTTTTTGAGGTATTTGAACTTTACTCTTCAGCTAATCTTGAAATTTTCTCTCTTTGATCCTACTTTTGGAGTGGGTTCTTCGTGTATAATTGATTTCATATGAAGGTGAATCTTATTATATGGCCCTGTAGCTGTATTCCTGAAAATATGTTTTCTAATTGCAAATAATTTTGCTGGTCTTATTGCAGTTTGCTAATCCTATGCTGTTATGACTTGATAAAAAACAGGAACTTTAACTTTCTAGTTTCTAGCAATAGAAAAACTGTGTTCCTATCTTGAGTTAGCTCTAGGAATTCCTGTTTGTCATTGCTAAAACTATATTCAAAATTTTTGGAAAGAATATGAAAACTCCTTGTAAATTTTTGAGTTACTTGTAAATAGCACTGTGAACTTTTACAATTGGAATATACTTTCCATAATTTTCTTACTTAAAGAAATAGGCACATTTATCATTTCGTCCATTACATTGTTACCTCATATGTGACTTAGGCTCTCAGCTGACATGGCAAGCCCTCATTTGTCCCCAATGTTAGCATGTCCAGTTTAGGCCTCTAGGGGTATTGTAAGTGGCATATAAAGTAACAAAGATAAGGATGAAATAGTTAGGAGCACCCATCTCCAAAAATGTGGAAGTTAAGAGCTTACTTTTCAGTTTCTCGAGAATTTAATGAGCTATTTGCTGGCAACCAAAGTTGTATTTTTTTTTTTCAATTTTCCCAGATTATTAATTTATAATTTTAGAAAATTAGAGATTCACACAGCCTGCAGACTGTTTTTTTCATACTTTTATTTGACACCTAGATTCAGTGCTTACAAGTTTTAGCTCTTGTGCAAATAAATCCCAATTTGTTAATAATTTCTTTTAATTCCTCATACTGATCTTGTTATTTCTATGATACAAATTCCATTAGGCATTGAATAGCCATTTGCGAACGCAATAGAGTACTGAATTCAGATACACGTTATGTTCTCTTTGCAGTTGCTCACATCATTAGTACGGAGATGGTAGCGTTGAACTGAAAATTTAATGCATTTTTTGGTGTGTACATATGTTAGTAAGAGGTATGTATTAATTCCTTGTGACTTTTTTTTTTTGGTCAAACTTTGGTATTTATGTCTTTTATCATATCATGCAGGCAATAAGTCATTGTATTCTGTTCTCATTAATCTCTTTGGTCAACTAGATTTTAAGATTTCCTGTATTTTGAGAAGGTCGTCATGCCATATGACAACACAGCAGAAGGGGAAAAAATGAATTAACTACTGGTGTGTTGACTTTTGAGTTTTGAGTACATTTACCCTACGAAATAGGATGGAATAGAAAGAGGACCTGTTGGCATTGGGGCTGCATAGCCCTTAGAAATTATGGTGGATCTTACAATCTCCCCATGGGCCCTGGTACGTTGGATTAAATTAATCACTAAGCTGGATGCATGATCCAATGGTGAACAAATCTGTTCATTGAGCAAGAGAGCAGTGTCCTTGTTGTGCTATTGAATTCACCGGCAAGTGTTACTGAGAAATAGTTTTAAGGTTTACCTACCATATTTGAATGTCCTTTTCCATTTAACTCTGTCCAAGGTCTGCTGCCTGTTTTGTGCAGCAGAGGAAGAGCTGTACATGTGGAGATGTTAGGGAAGTTTAACACAGAAAATAAAAATGATGAGCCCTGGCCTGGAATCCACCTTATCAGAACTGTCTAACAAATAAATCATGGTGTGCTCTAGCTAATGACGTAAGGAAGATTGCATTAGGCCTCATCATTTGAGTACCCTGTATTCTGGTCCAGTAGTGTTGAATTTTGAAATTACACTAGAACTAGAAGGCCTGTAAAAGTTTGAGTTCTCACCGTCAAATTCAAGCTCGAAGCTGCCTTGCCATCAACATCATGAAATATGAACTCACCGGAATCAACATGTCAACGTTTAGTGGATGCTAGCTCCTGTAAATAAGACATGCATTCGCTGTCCATGCTCGATCTTATGTCACAATTCAGTTTGCTTTTACAGGGATCTCAAGGCGGTGGATGGGTCTGAAAGGGGAAGTACTTGAGAAGCTGCGGCTAATGCTTCTGTACGTTTGCATGTCACGCCTCACTGTCCAGTAAAGATAATTAAAAAAATAAAAGTGCAATATAGTTTTTTTTTTAGTGCAAAACATTTTTGATCTTTGAGTGGCTCTTTTTATAATACGGAAATCATGTGGATCAGTGCCTTGCATGTTTGCTTCATGAGCTGTTGTTACTCTTATCACTTTTAGTTGTTGATCTTATGCCCCTCCATAAGCGAAGAATACACCGTGATTGTGAAAAAATACGGTAGGAGATTCGATCACCTTGTGATTTTGAGAATTCTTGCCGGACAGACTGCGTTTCATGATTCCATAACGTGCAACATCTATTGATTTGTGTTATTTTTTAAATTGCTTAAAGCTTTTCTTTACGCTGAAGATGATGTTTTAGTTGTATGTTTCTCGTGCGTGGGTGTGTATGTGGGTGGGAGGGAGTTATACACAATTTTAGTGGAGACATGTGATTGAGAGATCAAATGATACATTTGAATTACGTGTGATTGAGAAAGATCAAATGATATATTTATCTGAGGAAGCACTCAAGCTTTGCATGTTAATTGAAGCTAATGAATTACTTTCGTCACTTTCAGATATCTGATGCTGGGCAACGCTAATTCTTGGAGTTTTATATTGAATTTGATGACTTGATAGGAAGTATTCGCGATGCTTTTATTCAATATTCCACTACCTTAATTTTGCTATAATTTGATGAGAGATTAAATTTCCACTGTGCTGAGGAAGTGAGGCAGGAAGAATTTTTTATGGAATTAGAATAAAATTGAATTTTAAAAGTATGTTTAGTATGGAAATGGAATTTTGATATAATTTTAGTAAATATGTATACTTTAAATATGAGAGATAAAAATGCCCCTATCGACAAAAAATGGAAAAGCCCTCCTCCATCCCTGCAAACTCAAATTCATCCAGATTTAAAATCCCTCGATAGTATGTTAAAGAATGGAAAGAAAAAAAATGAAAACAATTTGGTCGATGTAGATTGAGCTCGGTTTGTGATCTAGAACAAGAATTTGGAGATGCATGCGATCGTACGCGGTGCTGGAGCTAGATCTTCGTTGCTTGTGCTGTTGCAGATCCAACTAAGCATTTGTATAAGGCTTTCTTTCGCCAAGTCGCGTCTGATTCAGGTGAGTTGTTTTTATTAAACGACGTGGTCAAAATCAAGGATTGTCCGTCAGAATAAACAAGAAATCGAGACCCTGAGAGAAGATTGGTTTGGAGGATTTGGGGTTGTCATCGTCGAACTTGACGATCACCTATCCACTGTAGGGGTTGTTGGCAGAGGTCGGGGAGGAATCCAGAAGCTTCAACAATGCTTGCTTATATCCTCAGTCTCCCTGCCAGCCATTTTGTGCTTCACTGCCCCGTCACCAACAATCAACAGGGAACAAAACCCCCCCGGGGGGGGGGGGGGGAGGAGATACAATAGAGGGTAGAGTGGTATGGTGAAACTAATTCCTAGGAATTGGACCAATTCCGTCTTCATCAGGGTAAAATCCAATTCAAGAACATTTTCCTGAATCTGGGTTCCTAAAAATTACAATTCGAATGTACCAAACTTGTCTCTCAGAGGATTTTGTTTCTGTTTCTGATTCCTTCTGCATGATTATTGCGTACCAAACATGGCCGAAATGAAGTGGCATAACGCATAAGACGCGGGATTGCAACATATGGATGAGAGAATAAAAACATAGGCTATGCATGAGCATAGGGTTCTTTAATATCTTTACTACTAGGTACATCATACGAACTTTTATTTCAAATAAATTTTGATTTGGCCCTAAAATATGATCCGTGGCCCCTAGCAGCGTCATTTTTGTGGTCCAAGAAAACAAGGGAGCGATGGATTGGATAATATAATTAATTAGGGGAAGGAATAAAAGATGGAACATTGTGATAAAAAGGCGAACGCGTGGTTGTCATGGTTCACAAAGGCAGAGCAATGTTGCTGCAAATCACGTCCATCATGCACTCATGCAGTTGGCGTCTCCATCTTCAAAGATCCGACCACTAGGCGATGGACACGCCACACGGTTACTTTGCTTCCTTTTCTTTGAATCCTTGAACTTGTCCCGCCCTATCTCTATGAGCACCTGTTTTTTAAATGCCCACTAGCTCGATGGCTATCCTCAAATGTGATATACTTGGAACATGGAATCGACCAGTCTCATCTCCAGGACTCGCAACAAATACAAGGATGAAATCAATTACAAATACCATAAGGAGCACCCTTATAGGGACATCATTCAAAATGCTTGCAATCTCATCCATAGAGATTGGTCTATTTTTATAAATTTTGTTTCTAGGGACGTCATTAGTCATGCCCATTTTTTTGTTAGCGAAGCTCATTTTATGGAGAGTTCATTTTGTTTCTTTGATCATCCCTCACCTAATATTACTTTAGGAGGCGTGTGATGATTGAATCAATTCTCTTCAGTCTTGTATTTACTTTATTGTACTGTCCTTCTTGATGATTGTTAAATGAAATTCAGTTTCCATTCAAAAAAGAATATCAATTACAAATACTGTTGCCGGTCCATCACTGTATGGGCCTCACTTCCGTTTCATCTGGACATCCAACTCGACCAACACTTTGATGCTGTTCAAGCTTATTAATGGTAACGATGTTTCCTCTCACGACTCACTTCGTTATCAAACGATAACGTTTTAACAATCAGCATGAGGAAAACCTGGGGAAATCATTCGGCCATCGTAAAATAGCTGTCACATGACACTCCGCGTAAAACAGATCATATGCATTTTTTTAAATGAATGGTCACGTATTTCACTGAAATTGATGATTATGTTCTGTGCTGCAATGAAAATGATGATATATAAAATTGGAAAACATACCTTGTGAGTTCTTACATTTTATTTAAAATTTATTCTAAATTTTTGTATTTTTTTTAATAATCTAAGATTTTATATTTTTGTCTTTTGATATTCTGGTTTCTGTAATATCATTGGTAGAGTGAATTAAAATATTAAAAAAATGAAAATTTATAATAAAATTTAAACAAAATACAAAAATTTAAAGCTATGTCGTTGCGGGAGCGGTAGATGGAAAAATCCTGAAATATATAAAGGATACAAGCGGATTGGACATCACAGTGGCGTAGCTGATAAGGCTCGTCGGCTAGGATAGGCTAATACTGCCACGAGCCGTCGGGAAAAGGTTTCATGGGCTCTTCTTGCGGTGTCAAATCACTTTCTTCAGCATCTGCAAACTTTTCTTTTTCTGTTTTCTGCTCACTCTCTGATTTATTTATTTTTTTATCCTCTCAAGTCTCTGCAATTTTTCTCATGCAAATTACTCATTATGTACAGTTGACCCTGGATGAAGTCGACATGGAGTTTTCCTTCTGTATGCTTGACATTGACTTTCGTTCGCCTAGGTTTTGCCATCAATCCCACTTTTCCTTGATTGATAAATTATGTGGCCATAATATTTCAGTTATAGCTTCAGATTTGCCGTATTTCACGACATTATTCTGTGTTAGGCAGACGCCTGGATAAGAAACGAGACGAAGCATTACGCAATTACCTTGCGGACAAAGAGATGCGTTATTTTATTCGTCGATTTGAAGGAGTGAAATTAATCGGAAAAGATGATAGGCATTTTGTAGGGTTTTTGAGTGTGGGGTTAGCTTTCGTTTTCAGTATATTCCTGGCAGGGATCAGTTAATGTTTGATTTTTTTAAAACCAATAATGCCGAAAAAAGAAACAACTTTTTTATGGTCTCGTTCCATTAATGAGCAGAGAGCAACGCATGCTGGTGAATAGATGGATGCGAACCTAACGCTGCAAAACCCTGCAATGGATGGAAGCATCTAATGCAAACACCACAAACATATACCTGCAATATATATATATATATATAATAAGGATAAGGATAAGAATATGAGATGACAAGTGGAGGGCAGGGGATTATACAGAGGGAGGAGCCAAAAGATAGTTTGGAGAAAATCTATCCACGGATGAGGCTTTGAGTGAATGGGGAGCATGAATGTGGAATTTTTCACTATTTTGGAAGACGTAGAGAGGGTAGGGAAGTCCCTTGGGAGAGGTCGTGCCGATGATATTGCCCATAAAAGGCAGGCCTCACATTCACATCAGCCTATACATCAGTAGGCATACAAGAGCCACATTTTGTGACAGTGACTGGAATCTAGAGAGACTGATGAGTTGTGATGAGATGATCTGGATCAAAAGCAAAAAATGATACATCGTCGTGTATAATATTTTAAAAAGAAACGAAAGAATTAAAGGCCGAAGGAACGCTGTGGGAGAGAGAATCTGGGGGTGATTGTGACAGGACGTGGAAGCACAGATATTGACAATACAGGTCAGGCCGAGGGAGAGAGAGAAGGAGAGTTGGGAGATATTAAGTTAAAGAAGGATGGAGGGGGATGTAGGGGCACAGCTACGTAGATATTGGATAGATCAACGAAGAGTAGGGGGGATCAGGAGATGGATTCATCAGATACAAAATGAATGAAGCTATGATACAGACATGATACTTATAGAATAATGTTTATATATTGTATATGATTATATATTTTTTTTAATTTTATTTAAAAATTATTTTTATCAATTTTATTAATATTAATATAATAAAAATATAAAAAATAAAAGTGAACAAAATTTTAAACGTAATCTTTAAATAAAAAATAATTTAATTATATAATATTTTTATTTTTATTTTTCTTTCTTTCTTTTTAAGAGTAATTTAAAAATTTTAATTTAAAATAAAATAATTTTATTAATAAATAATTTATAAAATAGTTCAAATTATGTTTTTAAAAAATGATTTATATACTGAATTGGAGGAGCATGTGTGTGTGCACTTTTTTTTTTTTTTTTTTTTTCTGAAGGGAAGGATATGGACCTATAAGGTTGGTGGCCTGGTGCTTAGATCTTGTTTGGATTTTGTCATCTCACGTGATCCCATTGCCTACCTCGCTCATTTATTGCTTTTGCTTTCCACTCGCATCTGGCTGGACGCTAGACCAGACATTTCTTTTTTCAATAAAAAATATATGATTTTTTTTTTAAGATTAATAGCCGCATCGCGTTATTCTTTGAAAATTTTACATTTGTCATTTTCAATTAAAAATCTTAGGATAAGTATATAAAACATGTACGCTTAAAAATCTTACAGCACATCCCACATTCCGCTCATAAATTTAATTTAATAGAGTAAATGATGGCGCAGTACGCAATATATTTAATTATTTATATGTCAGATATTGTGGGGGCCAAATCCCAAATGGTTAACAAGGCCACGGCTTCTTCATCAAATTTTATTCCCCGTAATTGCTCTAGCCAAGCACGTAAAATGTACTAAATGTCCTCAGGTAAGAAAAATCTTATAGTTTCAAATTTCTTTTCCCTTTTTATGAGCCGTCCACGGTTAACTCGAGCGCCGTAACATTGAGAATTGAGATGGAGGGTGGATGGAGGATTTAAACTTCATTGACATAATTTAAAAAATCCACTTACGGTTACGCCATCTAATCTTAGATGAAATAAATTAGAGAGATAAGATAGCTAAGTTCTGCGGGTCACATAATTTACAAATACGAGCGGTGATGTCTTCTCTCGCGGCATTCTTGCTAGAAAGTAGAAACATTTCTTCCAGATTTTCAAAATCAAATTGTATATACTGGGAACAAAAAATAGACCCTCGTCCCTGTCACGCGCTCGGCTGTCAAGTTCAACCTGATCCATCCACGACGAGTTAATTAGGTGAACAACCTGGGATCATATGTTCCCTGGTCCGTGACCACCATGTCTTTGACCAAATTAATGTTACAAATCTTGAACAACTTTTTCCAAATGCTGAGGTTCATTACCCCTCGAGATCCACTTTGATCCCTTCCTTTCATAAACGCGCATATCCTCGTGAAGCAAATGAGAGAGAAAATTATAAAGATCACAGCTGACTACTAAATTATCATCATGAGATTGCCCAAAAATATTACTATATTTTACCGAACGGGTAGATGTGCACCGATACGCCATGCATGGCCAACTCCGCCGTTGTGCGGATTGGATGTATTAATCAGGGCGTTGATTCCCTAATCTGACTCCATAGGAGCAGTGGAAGTGACGTGAGAGAGGCATTAAAATAAAAAAAAAACGGTAACAAAAGAAAAGGAGGAAGATGCATGGCACCAGGCCACCAACCAAGTGTAGCCACAAATGCAGCTCGTTGAAAAGGTCGATGAAAGTGAGCCAACACAGCTAGTCCTTTGCCAAAGGATCGTACCCACTGATGTGTGTGTGTGTGTTTTTTTTAAAAGGTGTTTAATACATAGTGCCTGTCGTGGATACACTGATCATTTCATTATAATTACCCAGGCATTCACCTCCCACCTCTGTGCACGCACCAATATATACAGAGTCTCTCTTTTCATGTCTCTGTTTATTTTCCCGCCTGTCATGATGATATCTGGTTTTCTTTTCTTTGTTTTTTTTTTTTGGGCCCAGGCAAACACGCACAAGGATATTGGAGTCCACCATTCATGCGAAGCTCCAAGACGAAATGATTTTGTGTTTGAAAATGTGTCGCCATGCAAAACATTCCCCATACTTCCCCCTCCCTCGAGAGTCTCGATTCCCCATTGGTATTGCTCATCGTGGAATTTTTGCCTTCGTGCCACCATTACATGCCCATCCCCGACATGTCCAAAAGTTGACCCCCCCACCAGTTCACTCACTTTGACCGGTTATCACGACCAGCACTCCCCCCCTAATTACAGTGTTCACTGATTAGGCCCAGAATAATCAGAGCCACACGATAATATTAAGTAATGTTGCATTGCACTCACCCCATACATGCAAGCTTTCAAATTGTTCTAGACAACTAAAAAATCATAACGTCTTTTAGATAGTTTGTTATTTTTTACTCTACAATATTAGAAAAATTGCAGAAGACATTATACTTCTATTGATAACAATTATGTTAATAAAACAAACTATTCTCCCACATTTTTTTCAACAATTAATATATATTTTTTAAAATAATGAATCGACTATTTTTTTATTTTTTATTTTCAAAACTTATTTTAAAAAAATTATCCTATCGAACTGTTTTAAGAGCGTAGAGATAGAAAACAAAACCAAAAACACATTGTTAATGCGTTGGGCAAAAGAAGAGCAACAGCTGATGAGATTTGCCAGTAACATATGGGTTCAGCTAGGATGAGATTAGAGATTACTCCTTCCTATCTAAAATATAAGCAATTTTTTTAAAAAAATATATACACCAATAAACTAATCATTCTCATAAAAATATTTATTGTTTTTCCTTTTTTTACTCCCAATCATAATTACCAATATACTTTATGATAAGTGAGATACTTCCTTCATTTCAAATTATAAGACATTTTCAAAAAAGATTCAACATGTCATAAATATAAAATATTTTAATAAAAATAAGGTTTTACCAATAATACTTTTTCATATATTATCTCTAATATTTTTTCATCAATAAAGTACTAAATAAATAATATTTTTAAAATTTTATATTGTTGCCTTGAGTTTTATTAATATGTAAAATTTTATTTAAAGTTATCTTATAATTTAAAAGTTAAAATGAAGGGAGTATAAATTTGTATCAGGATCTAAGTTAATAATTATAAGAGAGATAAAAAAATTACATGTATTAAATTATTTATATTTTGAATTGAGATTGATTGAGAATAAATGTTTGTATTTTATATGGGAAGGAGTAGGGCTGTGCAAAATTTCTCCAATTTGATTTGACCTAATTCAACTCGAGATGGTTTTATTTTATTCAGTCCTTATAAACACTGGTCCTTCAGGATCAAAAAAATTAAAAAGACCAGACTATTTTTTTTGGTTGGACTGAACAAGAGATTGAGCATTTAGACTACTTGGTCCAATCAAGTTCTATTGATTTATTTAATATAATTATAATTAATTTATTTTTTATAAATACTTCAAGTGTAATTGACACTAAAGAGATGATTGCATGAAAATTTTTTCAGTATTTCTAAATTATTATTATAATATAGTGTTGTTAAAATTTATTGAGTGTTATTTTTATTAAAATTATAAATTTAAAATATTTAGAATGTAACTGAAATATTTCTTTCTTGTTATTAAAAATTATTTTAAATTTATTGTGGTTATAAGTAATTTTATTATTTTAATTAAGTTCATTAGATTAAATGAATTTTGTCTCTCGTAGAAAAAAATAATAACTAATTTAATATTAAACTAACAGGATGAGTTTTTTAATTTTATGAATAAAGTACATTTGTTAATTTTAAAGTTATCATTAAATAAAATCAGATTAAGAGTTGCCAAATCTAATTTAAAAAAAAAATAAATTTTGAGTGAGGTTAAAATTTAACACCGTCCATTCTTCTTCGTAACCTTAGAAGAAGTATGACAGAATAACATTAGAAAAAGATAAGGAAGTTAGAATGGTATTATTATATTATATTTAATAACAAGCGAGTGTTTATTTGAGAGGCTTTTGGTGGATGATTGTGGGGGAAGGCCCACTGATAACTTTTTTGTCGGGAAGCAGGTGTTGACTACTCACTCAGGCGCCAAAGAAAAAGCGCTGCCCTCTTCTCTCTTTTCTTCTCCTTCACTCTCTCACCAGTCTCACGCTCTCTGTCTTGCGCGTCTCTTCACTTCCCACTCCCCTTCTCCATTTCTTCCATTTTTCTCTTTTTTTTATATATACTAAATTATCAGCCGCTTGCTTTCCGATTTCTTTATAAATCCAGCACGTGTACGTCACTCGTATTGTTTATCTATCTTCTTCTGAATTTTCAATAAAAATATAGATTACATTATTTTTAAATTTAATTATCATCTCCTCTTCATGTTTTCTTGTTCTAAAATTCTCATTGCCTGAAAATTACACACCTATTAATAATAACAAATAACCTGTCTTCAAAGTAGTATGTACTGCTAATAAAAATTATACTCTCTCCATGCTAAATTATTCCCTCAATCCTATTTATAAATTATTTTTAATATATTTTACTACAATAAACAAAGTATTAAATTTTATTAATTTTGTCTTTAAATTTAACAAGTCATCATTTTTATTTCCTAATAAAAATAAAAAAATTTAATAATTTTTTCAGGCATTTGAAAAGAGTATAAAGGTAAAAATATATTTAAAATATAGTGAAATGTTTTATAAATATCATTAAAATTAAATTTTTCTCTCTATAATTTTAAAAATATCATGTTCTTATAATACAGAGTGAATATAAGGCTGGGGACTAAGATACCCCTCGCACAAATGTTGTTGGTAAGGACAAGAATGACTAAATAATATGGTTGTTGTCAGCTGAAGCCTTGAGGTAATAAAAGTCGCGATTGAGACCCCACGAGTCCCTCTCTCGTCAACTAAAAAACAAAAAATGGTATATCACTGACATCTTTATCGTGATTTCGATCTCCGATTTTCATTTTTTATGCAATTGTGTGATTAAGTTGACTAAAAATAAGTGTCTCGTCCCAAACATACTTTGATGTGACTGTCCCTCATGTATTACCCGCGTAATGCGCTGTAGAAACAGATGATATAACAAATGTATTACATGTCTTGCAAAATTTCATTTCAATTGCCATGGAAGCGCGATTTGATCTCAGACGTATATAACAGTTATATAAAATAATCACTATATAATTTATAGATTTTTACAGCTTTTGAAATAAAAAATTGTTATATGATCTCTGTCTTTTTTATTTTTTATAAATTATTCAACAATTTTTTTAAAATAGCCGTTAAATAGTTTGTGAAATTATACAGTAGTTTCTTCCATTTACCTCTTATGTGTATGTATATATATATTTTAAAATTTTTAACTTAGAGATTATTTACCGGTTATTTGAAATAATTGCTGAGCAGTCTCATTTAAAATTTTTTCACATTCCAAAATTTTTACTGGTGTTACGTTAAAAAAAAAAAAATCAAACTATTTTCTTCTGCGAACCTTTTCCATTTCCCACAAAACCACCTCCATTGCTCATGAAAGGCAACTTTCAGACGAACCTAGTTGAAGAGCTTCCTTCGCCTTCGCCATTCTTCAACATGGGTTTTTTAGTTGATTTTTTTGGGGTTTTCATCCTTGGCGGCTGTTGGTGTCGATTGGTGACTTCTTGTCTTATTCCCCAATCACTGAGTGTTAACTTGGTGGTTTTTTCTCTAATCTCCTTCCATTATCAATTTTGCTGGGTTTTGTTTGGTTCTTTGAAAATGCATGATGTATATATGTGACCATCTTCTTCCATTGTTGTGCTGCTTTGTCTCTCTATTTTTTTATATAAAATGATATATTTAAAATTTTAAACCTTAGTTTTGATTAAATTTTGTATAAAATGATACATTTAAAAATTTAAACCTTAGTTTTATTAATTTTTTATTTATATGTTGAATTTACTGATAGAATGAATTGATAGAATCTAATCTCCCAATGTCACAATGTATATGATTTGACAGCGTTGAGGTGAACTTTGCTCTGCATGATGGAGTTTTTCTCATATTGAGTTGTCCTCTAAGTTATTAGTTCTTGAATTTTGAATTATAAAGATGTTTTTTCTATTTGCCTCGAATTGAGATGATATTGAGTTGTTGTATTTGATTGCATTCTTTGAAAATGCTGTTATGGTATTAATTGTTGTCTATTTAGGAAAACATGCCATTATTATGCTTGAAAAAATTTATTTTTTGATTGTCATGCTGTCATTTTTTTAAAATAATTGGTTCTGCATATGTTTAAGGTATTTTTTTTAAAATGGTATAAAGATAAGGCATAAGGCACTGAATCGCTAATGACATTTACTTTTTAGATAACTAACACTGAATTGACATGACAGACAATAGATAAATGTCTGCTGGGTGTATATTTGAAGAACACTGAGATGAGATTCAAGAATTTATTTAAGTTCGCATGAGTGTATGCCAAAATGTCCTCATTTAAAATGTAATTTTGTGAGGTATCACCTTGATCAAAGTCATAAGTGTTTGACATTACATGAGGCAACACTGGATGAAATTAATTGTAACTGTCATTTCCCTAATGCCGACATAAGTACATATGTGATCAACCTTCTTGAATAGTGGGAGATGACTTGGAAGAGGCACTCAATTTTTTTAGAAATGTTAGCAAAGTTAAATAGTGATGCAGAAATGTGTTTATATAATAATTGTGAATATATAACATTGTTTACAATATTAAAATTCTACAGTTTGGAAATAAGATATGAGTAAAGTGACTCAGGTTTCACTAAATATTTTTTTATCATTCAAAAAATACTGTCAAAATAAATTTCAACCCGAGTGCATCAAGCAAAACAAGTGTGATGCATTGGTAGCCTTATGTCATGAAAGAGATTTTGTTGGTTTGTTAGGAGAGGGGCGGGAAGGGAAGTGAGAAAGGAAAGAACAGAAAGTAGAAATAACATTTGAAAACAGATGGAGTGAGGGTTGCAGAGAGTGGGGCAGAATGGTTGGGAGTACTGTACGAAGTGACCGGAGGTGGCAGATGTATTTGCAGCCCGTCAAATCCATTCCTTCTTAATTTCCAAAGCAAATTAGTTTTTGGCTACCTCCCTCACGCTGGCTCTTATCATCTCTCTGACCCTTTCCTTTCCTCTCACACCCTATTGGTTATTTCTATCCCCACTAGATTTACAGTACTTTCTTCTTTTCTACAAACTTATATACCGATAAAGTTATTTAACTCTGTATTTAATGCTTTGAGGTCGTTCTTTTGCTCTCGCTGGAAAGAGTCCTCGTGGACTTCGAGGTGTTTTTTTATTTGGGGTTATGCTGATTCTGGGTTTATGGTAGGGTTTAAGCAAAAGTTAAGTGGGAGAGGGAGGCGATAAAAAGGGCAGCCCAAAATTTTAAAAGAAAAAACAAAAGAAAAAGCAAAAGGCGTGGTCTTTCTCATATACACAGATCCCTATGGGAATGAAGTGGGTGCGTTGCTTGCTGGGAATTCATTCTTTTTGCTCAGTTTAAAGAGACTGGATTTGTTGGCTTCGGGGGGAAGAGATCGACACGCAGATTTTTTGTGATGAGAAGTGCACAGAAGATACAACCAAGAGAGTGTGTGTATGGTTCGTTGAGAAATTTGCTGTAGCCAACAAAAGCCAAAACCCCGGTCGTTCTCTCATATATGCAGGAGGCAAAGAGGTTTTCGTTATGATTAGTTTATTTGGTGCCCAATGATTGACTTGCCTTGCTGCGAGAGACACTGCTAAAAAAGTTCGAACCTTGAGAATAAGAAAGAAAAGGGAAAAGACACGGGGTAGGAGGGAGAGAGAGGGAGAGAGAGAGAGAGAGACCGAGTGAGGCGTGAAGAAGATGAAGTCCATCAATGACAGCAGGAGCAACGATGGGAGTGGGAATAATAATAGTAATGGTCAAAACTGGTTGGGGTTTTCTCTGTCACCCCACATGAAAATGGAGGTTACTTCTGGCCCACCCCTTCATCATCACGATTATCATCAGTATCATCATCAACCTCAAGCTTCTACTGCTGCTGTTTCTAGCTCTGTTCCGACAACCTTCTGTCTGTCACCTTCTCAGCTCAGCAGTTACGGGATATGTTATGGTGCGGCGGAGAACCCAGGCTATCATTCTCCATTGACCGCCATGCCTCTCAAGTCCGATGGCTCGCTTTGTATAATGGAAGCCCTGTCTCGATCACCAACTCAAGGTATAGTCTCTATTATTAAATTTTTTCTATAAACGTTTATTTTTCCCTTCAAGTCAAGAATAAACTCTAACGTGCGTCCAAAAGTTGTTAACTTTTTAAGATTAGTTTTATAGCACTTTAATTATAATCTTGCGGCTCTATTTTGTAAGTGATGATGCCGAATTCGTCTCCGAAACTGGAGGACTTTCTAGGTGGTGCAACTATGGGGACTCATGATGCAATGGCTCTGAGCCTCGACAGCATCTACTATGGCAACCAGGCTGCACAGGCTCAATCCCATAGAGACCATTCTCTTGATTTTCTTTCGGAGCCTTTCAGACAGCAAGACCCCATATCTGTCCAGTCACATCCTTATTATTCTGGAGCTGCTTGCCATGCTGTTTATCCATCACCATTGGAGCAACAAAGCAAGGACCCCCAATTGCAACCAATGTCCGAGGAAGGCATGACTTGCCTGAAAAACTGGGTGGCTTCCGGCAGGGACTATTCTGCTCAACAAGGTTTGGAGGAGAAGAAAAATGGAACCTTAGAAAATGACAGTGGAGCTTCTGGGTCCGTTGGTAAAGTTGGGTGTGGAGATTTACAGTCCCTTAGTTTATCCGTGAGCCCTGGCTCACAATCTAGCTGTGTAAATGCTCCACAGCGGATTTCCCCCTCTTCGACTGACGTGGTGGCAATGGAAGCCAAGAAGAGAGGGCCAGGGAAGTTGGGCCAGAAACAGCCGGTGCACAGGAAATCGATCGACACTTTTGGCCAAAGAACGTCTCAGTACCGAGGCGTCACAAGGTTGGTTCATCTCTCAATCTTGTTTAATCCGTTGATAGGGATTTTAACTTTCTGTCACTTAATAAAATCCTCTCATGGTTGGGTGGGTAATAGCTGTGAATCGTTGTGTATCAGGCACAGATGGACCGGTAGATATGAAGCGCATTTATGGGATAACAGTTGTAAGAAGGAAGGGCAGACCAGGAAAGGAAGACAAGGTTAGTGAGACAATGGAAGTCGTGGACATTACTGTGTTTGGATTTTTGAAGTATTATATTTCTACTGCAAATTTTTGGTCCCCTCGACTCATAACTGTGTCACCAACTCTTGTCTCTCATGTTCACTGATGGGGATGATGATCAATCGAATGTTTCATCTTTGCAGTTTATTTGGGTAAGTCCTTCCTGCGGATTCTGAGAATTATTACGGTCATGTAAATGTTAACCGCTGAGTGTTTTGTTTCGCCTTTGAAACTCAGGGGGCTATGATATGGAAGAGAAAGCTGCAAGAGCCTATGATCTTGCTGCCCTCAAGTACTGGGGAGCCTCAACCCATATTAACTTTCCGGTAAATATTTGATATTTGATGTCTAATGTTTTTCAATCAATCTGATCGCGCTTTCTTGATTGGAATAGGGAATCTCAGTTTTTTTATTTTCTCTGGCAGTTGGAAAATTACCAGGTTGAACTTGAAGAAATGAAGAACATGAGCAGGCAAGAATACGTTGCCCACTTGAGAAGGTACTACAGATACTGATGTAGAGGTTTTTCAAATTAAAATGGCTTAATATATTATTATCTTACGGAGGATAATGAGCAAAGCTCCTGTTGCTTTGCAGAAAAAGCAGTGGTTTTTCCAGAGGGGCTTCAATGTATAGAGGAGTGACGAGGTTGCCTGGATTCTGCTGCCACTTTTTCTCGCGAATGAGGAATAACTAGTTGATTTGTGCTTAAATTTCACTCTTTGTTATTTTGCAGGCACCATCAACATGGAAGATGGCAAGCAAGGATAGGTAGAGTTGCAGGAAACAAGGACCTCTATCTGGGAACATTCAGTACGTCTTTGCGTATTTTCAATATCAACCCATCTGCTATTAAATTCGTCAAGAATATTGTAGTATTTGTGCCAAAGAATATGTTTGTGTTATGCGCCAGCGTGCTTTAAAGTGGTGACCCTGGACCTGTTTCTTATGTTGTCATTTCTACTTCATTGCCTCTTTCGCCAGACACTTGTGACTGCCGATGCTTTTTATAAGGCTGACCACATGCACCTCCTTTGAGAGAGATTTACCAGTTACTTTTCTAAGGCTGTTTTTTTTTTTTCCCGATACCATGACAAAGAATTACAAAAAGGGGTATCTCAACCCCAACTATGGCCTCGCAAAAGTGAAAGCTTTTGAAAATTCTTTTGTTTCGTTTCGTTTCGTTTTTTTTTTGGGAATATTTTTGCTGAATTTTGTCTCTCAGGCACTCAGGAGGAAGCAGCTGAAGCGTATGACATAGCTGCAATCAAGTTTCGAGGCGTGAATGCAGTTACTAACTTCGACATATCAAGATACGATGTGGAAAGGATCATGGCGAGCAACACCCTTCTCGCTGGTGAGCTGGCTCGACGAAACAAAGATAGCGAGCCAAGAATAGAAGCCATGGAGTACAATGTAGCCTCGAACCAGAGCAATGGGGTAGCGGTTCAAGCTCAAAGGAACGACAACGGCAACGGCTCGGAGTGGAAAATGTATCATCCAAACAGCTGTGAGCAGAAAACCGTGAACTGCGGAAATTACAGGAATTCAGCCATATCTGTGGCCCTACAGGATCTCATTGGGATTGACTCAGAAAGCTCGGGTCAGGCCATGCTGGAGGACACTACCAAGATAGGCACTCATTTTTCAAACCCAACCTCGCTGGTCACGAGTCTGAGCAGCTCAAGAGAGGGAAGCCCGGATAAAACTGGTCCCACCATTCTGTTTCCAAAGCCTCCTCCAATGGCTTCAAAGATTGTTGGCCCCATAGGTAGTGGAGTTAGCTCGTGGTTCCCTTCAGCAGCTTCTCAAACGTTGAGGCCAGCTCCTGCTCTTTCGATGTCTCACTTGCCAGTTTTTGCAGCTTGGAACGATGGTTGAATTCTGCATGATAATAATGATGATGATGCAAGAAAGAAAAAACATTGATGGCGGAAAAAGGTGAATGAATGTTTGTTCTCAAAGTCGTTAGTGGAGGAATTTGGGGGATTAACGACAGATGGGTAGGGACCATTTATCTGTCATCTGTCTGTAACCAAAGTGTAAAAGCCTTTTTTTTTTTTTTAAAATATTGGAATGGGGGATAATATGCAGATTTGAGGGAAAAAGGTGTCATTTATTAGGGAGGCGGCCTAATGATTTAATTTTGTGAAATGATGTTAGCAATATGGAAGTGCAGCCCTTGCATTATTGATCCTGGCTTTTTTTTTTTGTGAAGTTGCTGTTCAACTAGCTCCAGCTAAGTACAGGAACCAGCTCGGTATGTTTCCCTAATAATGCAAAAGGGCTTTCTCCATTGACCACACCACATCGTTTTGTTGCCAATACTTAGTTCCTCCGTCTGCATAACGCAATCATGGTCATTAACCTTTCTCGCGAGGCAACGAAGACTCTATTCCCTCATTATTTATAAAAGCGAGTGCTTGCGGAGATTCTTGCATGAAAGGTTCTGGCTGGCTTAGTTGTCATAATTAGTAGGGGACACCACCAAAATCTTATTTATGCAAAAGCTGTTATGGAGGGTTAAAATTTGCCATCTTTTTTAGTCATAAGCTCCACTTCGCCTATTCCAAAGAGAGATTGGGGGGTCATAAAGTGATCCCATGTCCTGGTGCGTGGTGCGTATGCTTTAGCGATTAGAGCATTGGGACAACTACAGTAACATCCTGTTATGGAGTGATATCCCACGTGTGCGCCCCTCGCGTTTTGTAAAACTTTAATCACTGGCCATTATAATTACATAGGACGACAACGAGGAATTAATGCCGGAAAAGCTGGGAATGGTTCCGAGCTGAAGTTGGTAATAGCTGTTTCTCTGTATCATGTCTAAATATTAATTGCGACTTCGCACCATATAATCTCAATTATTTTACTACCACGTCGTGATTCTGTAGCAGCAGAAGATGAAAACGACAGGTTCTACCGAGCGATCTGTATACAAGGCATCCAGCTGCCGCCTCTGTGCTTCATTTTCCTTTTCTCTTTTAAAAATGCCGTCTCAACCAATAGTGTGGTGATTTAAAAACTCTGATAGTCCTTGGTCCAACAGGGGAATTAGGTATAAATACAGTGAATAGTACTCGATTCACCGAAGGAAGAAAGTGAGCTCAAATAATGGTGGCAGGTATTGAAGTCCCTAGTGAGGCCAATAGTGATCGAGGTCATTAATTAAATGTTGTCCTGGATAAAAGCAACAAGTTTATGTACTGTTTTACTTGCATGAGATTAATAATTGTGCCTGGGACATATAACCCGGACTTACGTTTAATGAAAACTGAAAAGGAAATCATGTGAGAGAAAAAAGTATCGTATCTTTGAATTTACCCCTTGAATGTTGAAATTCAAAGTTCCGCATGAAAAAAAAAAAAAGGAACAAAGCATAAAGGAAAAAAAAAACAAAAGAAAAGAATCCCTCCCATTATAAGATTTTTTGGTTGATTTGTTGTGTAGAAAACTAGCATACATGGCCTTCCATGAAAACGGTGCTTATTTTTTGGACGAGGAAAAAGCGAGCATATCAAAAGGCGAAACACAAGAAGAAGCAGATTGCATGACAAACAAAAGGCCATGCTATAATGAGATGGATGGTCAAAAAGCGAGCAATTTCTCGCGGAAAAAGAAGACAAAGTAAAAGAGAGATCTCAATGTGAACAGAGAGGGAAGATAAAAGTAAGATCGACTTCTAAGGTTTTCCATTCCATCTCCTGAGATTAGTCAACAGATATGATTACAAATGGTCTATCGCGGACAGCTTAAACAAACTAACCCCAACACAAACAAAAGTTGGCACAAAGGAGCGGACAGCTTTATTTTAAAAAAGCAGGATTGCGCATGAGCTGGATCGTCGTGCAAGTTCCATCACAAGTTGAAATCTTGGGCGAGAAAACTTCAGAATTACGTACATACATGTTTAGAGCATTGAAGACACTGAGAGGACCCGACGGCTAGGATAACAAATTAAAGACCGAGCACGTGGTGGTTGAGTTAATTGAATATGATTTAAGCTCCAGCCCGAAGAAATTTTGGACTTGGTTATCAAGATTCAAGAAAATGACAAGGTGCATGGGGGCACATCGGTAAAATCTAAACAAGCGCCTGAGAGGGCAGATAAATCCCAATATTGTTTTTTTTTTTTTTAAAAAGGGGGTCTGGCATGATTGAAGAGAAGCAGGGCTCTGTAGGAACATGTGAAAGAAGGGCCGTTTGAAGTGGGCATTATATGGTTTTGGATTTTGATAAGAGAGAGGGGAAACAGAGCGCGGTGTTATTACTTGGACAGGCCCACACAGTGGAATGCAATGTGAGCAGGCAAATAAGTAGAATATTGCCCGAGTTTCGAAGTTGATGTGGTGAAAGAGTGGGACGGTCCCCACAAAGACAATAGAAAGGACAGAAACAGGGACGGTCCCGGAGAGAGGAAAGAAGGTGCAAGGAGCAAGGTGATGAGATGTGGTGTGGGAGTGGCATAACGGTGGGAGGGAGGGGACCAAAGAAACCTTGTAAATGCGTGGGAGCTGGAATTGAAAGGGAAAGTATAGGGTGGGAGTGCATGTCCCCTACAGGAGAACCATGTTTCGTCCAAGGAGACTTGCTGGGAAGGCAATTTAATCAGCTCTTGGGTCGTTCTCAGGAATCGCAGGTGCATTTGGATACATGACCGGCTTGTTATTTGCTTATTAACACGATGGGTTTTAACCGATGGGGAGGTCAGAGGGGCACGCCTTCTGGGACCTGACATGAAATGGCCGTCGTGTCCTTAATGTGGGCATCACCATTCACCCCCTCCCCCACCACCTTGCCTGTTCTGCTCATTTTAAATTGTTCCGTGTCTCCTATTTCTTGTCCCACCGTCATTTCTCCAGCGCCAAAGAAACCCCCCAACGCCCCTGATTCACCAGTTCTAGTACCTCCGTACTCCTATTACACTATACGCTGACGCTGCTTCTACCATGAATCCAGCCGAAATTTAATTTCCTTTCTTCACTCCTGCCTCCGCCTGTTTTTAGCATAGAGGATGAACCCATCTCAATTTATAACATATTTTTAAATAAAATAATAAAAATTTTTAAATAAATTTTATAAATTTATTTTTTAAAAAAATGGGAATTTCTAAAAATATTTTAAAAAAAAGATATAATGATAAGGTATAATGTCAAATCTCTTTTAAATATAATTTTAAAAAAACGCAGTACATTTCTTTATCATTGACAGGCATCTAGATTTATTAAAAAAAAAACCATGAACTTTTTTTTGGGAAATAAATTGTTGATGAGAATGAAAATTAGCAAGTATTTGAAACTAGCGTTGAGCTGTTAATGAAGTAATTAAACAAAGGGGAGGAGGAATGGCGGGAAGGGGGGGGAGGTGTCAACGTCGCGTATCTAAGTGAGAATCTTGGGGACTTGACAGGAGTCCCTCGTGATGGGGGGCTGGTAGTTCCACGTGGCATTTAACGCCGTCTGGAGTTCCGTCTCCGCCGTCACCCCTCTTCCGTTCCTATTTCAATTTCACAACTTTTCCGTCTGCAGCCCCCTCCCCCGCGCCCCCAATTTTTTTAACTCCCTTATTTTCTGAGTTAGCCTACACGAAATATATAGCCTGGCTGACTGGCTACCGATCAACTAGTACACCTCCGTCCCACCTGCATGCTAGTCACTTTTTAAAAATATAATTTAATTAATTGATAAAATTATTTTATTTCAAATTAAAATTTTTAATAAGAGAGAGAAAATGAAAAATAATATTATATTATTTATTTATCTTTTATTTTTATTTAAAGGTTATATTTAAAATTTTATTTATTTTTATTTTTTATATTTTTATTTTATTGATATTGATGAGATTGATAAAAATAATTTATTAAAAAAATATATTTCTATTTAATTTAAAATATTTCATGTGAAAAATGAGACCACGTGTACGACTAACTTTTTTTCAGTCGCCTGAAAATTGTTTTCTTATGCAAGAAAACATTTATATGTTGTTTGGTGATTCCCACCTGGATAGCAGAGACTCCTAGAAATAGATTGTAACTATAAGCATGTGACAGAACGCCGATGGCAAGATTCGACCTAATGTTCTTCCTGGGCATCCATCCTATTTCTCTGTTATCTTCATTTCATATCTAAACATATTGTAATAATTTATAATTTCCAAACATTCCAATTTAGATGCAACTAATCTTTGTTTCGAAGACGGTGTAAATATAAAATACTTTACTTTCAAAGAATTTAAATGAATTATGTTCATCCTTACTTTATCCGATTTTAATTTCCTGAAATCTGGACCCACGGGCCTCGTCTATGATACCGTTTTCTCACGGACTTGTCAGCGACATGGGCCTCGACGGACTCTGGCTATGGGCCTTTCACTCTGCAATCCCCCTCTTTATATATATATATATATAAAGCCGCCCCTAACTCCAGTTTTTACATCCCAACTCCCACTCTGGCCCTGGCCCTGGCCCATAAAATCACCCATACAAATCCATTCCAGGATCAGTGAGAAGACAACAAATTGATAAATAACTCTATTTTTGCATATAATAATATTATTATTAAAAATAAACCACATACACATTCTGTTTTCTAATATAAGAGAGATTACACAATATTTTTATTACGAGCAAAACTACAAATTTCAAGCATTAATTACATTTCTCTCAAATTATCGATATTATCATTAAATTACAAAAAAGTAAAATTAATTACATAGGTATTTTAGTCTAAATATTTTAATTTCAAATATACTAAGTATTAAGATTAATTAATTTTCTTAACCTTTATGAGTTTATTGAAATTCAATTACATTTTAATTCATTTATTTTAAAGAGAATCACGGCACTTAATCTTTTTTTTTTTAAATAGAAAACACGCGAAACTATCAGCTGGAAATCAGATAAGAAGTTAAAACACGGAATACTTACATGATAATAATCAATGAAAGAGATCGAGTAATGAGAAACACCATTCACAATCTATAAATAGTGATACCACTTGTCACACACACACACACACACATATTTACATTCTTGCTACAATATTTTTATATTTTGCATT